GATTTATGTAACGGTAGATCGTGTGTGACCTTGTGACTCGCAGACTTATTGAAAAACTTACATATAGTGGTGATCTATGATCACAACAAATCGCATTTTCATATGATAAAAACAATCACCAGAATTGGCAAGAGGTGTAATGTTACAGATCCATTTTCATTGCGTATCAAGTGTCCAATACTTTTTTCCACCCCCTGTATAACAAAATTCAAGAACACCGTGATTATTATAATACACTTGTGCAGTGTATTTGATGATAATTTTCTATAAAAAAAAATACTTAAAACGAAAGAGATTTGGGATTCGGTTAAGTTTTTTTAGTTTTAATAAATTAAACATGCCATATGATGAATCTTAAAAGCATAGAGAAGTAGGGTTTGCTCTAGTGAAGGAATTTGAAAGTTGCGCTAGATCAGTATTGCATGCATATCAGACTGCACCTCAAGTGAACACATATCAGGCATATCCTTTATGGTGTTCGAAAGACTGCATCTCAAGTAGAATATCTTGATTGCCAGATTTGTGATGAATGCTCGAGACAAAATCTGTATTGCATACCAAGTGTGTCCTTTGTGGCAATAAAGGTGTTCGAAAGACTGCAGCTCAAGTAGATATCTTGATGCATGTCCTCTGTAATGAATACTTGTATTGCATATCAGGAAGGGAATGCCACAAATCACCTGATTTCATTTTATTAATAGAACTACCCCGCCCTTCTCTCTTGTGATTTATTTGGACCAATAATAATTAGACATGACCGGTAAGGCTCATCCCTCCTAAGATGAGATTACAGATAGAAGATATCTAATACACAACATACGTATTAACTTGCTATATACAAATTCTTTTATTTCGCAAATATTGCGATTATCATACAATTTACAAAACACTCCTTTGGTTAAGTTGAGGTCACATAGACAGAAAATATCCGCATAAACATACATACTAACTCATTGCAAATACAATCTTTTTATTTCGCAATTATTGCAATTGCCATACAAATTTTATTTTGACATACTGTTTGATTTTTCTGAGGCCCGGGAAAAAATGCCTAAATCTAGCTTGGAGTACTAATAAAAATTGTCAGGAAGACAAATTTACATACCCTAACACTGATTCTAACTTTAAAATAACCTTTAACGTTAATTTCCGAATTTTGCCGGGATCGGCGTAAATTACAGACCTGTGGGTATATCGATATCGATATGTCTATTTTTTTTTATTAGTAAATTTTTTTTCGCACGTAAAACTCATTATCGTTATGTTATTATTAAGAGTAAAAAATTATTAGTTAGACTTTAACTACCATCGCTGCAGTTAACAGTGTGGCGACGTGGGTAAGTTCTCGCGCATTTTTTTATCAGTCGTGTCTAAAGCGTAGAAATTTCCTTATACGAGCGCACAACGGAAACCGCTCAGTTTATAGTCGGAAGTGATCTCCCATTCATAGTAGATTAATAAACGTTCTGCCATGGTCGGATTGGCAACAGTTCGGATCGACACTTTTTTTCGCCATGGCTCTTCTTTTTGCTTAACGCTCATTGGTGATTTTGCTTAACATCTGTTTTTCTAATGTGTCTTGATAGGTAAAAAAAAATATTCGTGTTGTGGAGAGGGGTGTGAAAGTTATTCTGTTTTTATTGCAATTAATGGTAATAATTCGTTCTCAAAAAATAAAATTTCAAAAAGCTGGTCGAACTCGGTCGTCACCATCACCATCAAAATTAACTTCGTTATCATTATCATCACAAAAATTAACTTCGGTGTTGTCGTTACTACCAAAATTAACTTCGTCATCATCATCACTGCTATCGCCACCATCAAAATTAACTTCGATGTCACCGTTATCGCCATTACAAAATACAGTGTTACAAGGATCCGATTATTTTATATTAATATTAGTGTTCCGGAGATAGAAGAAGATAATTTATATTGTTATAAAAAAGAGTTTATTTTTGTAAATTTAATTTTCAGCCTATTTTTGATAGTTCTATCGATAAAGGGTATTGGATGTGCGTTATTACTCCAGCAATCTCTTAGTTTATTAGGATTAGAGCGTTTATATTAAATAAATGAATCCTCCAACAAGACTTGCCGGAGATACAGTTTGCGAAATTAAAACTATTTGATTCGTTTGAATATTGAGTTATAGCTTGCATTGATATCTTGTAATTTGTTCGTTTTCTACTTTATTTTGGAGCTTTTAAAAATATATTTGGTCCTTCTATGCCATTAAAACATCATTACATCTTTTACAAAGTTCATTTACATTAATTGCTAGGTAATTCCAACATCGAGGACACTTGTTCAATGTCGCTTTCTTTACCAAAACATCACACTCAGTAGCATTAACTATTTTTATTCTTTTTTCGTATTGACTATTTTCCTGCGAAATATTATTTTCATAACAACTCTACTTGCCTTGTCCACAGATCATGTGTAATGGACCAAATGATACCAACAAAGATAAAAAACACTTATGTGAAATAGGCCCGATTATTTTGTAATTTTCATAAATTTCTTCGGCAAGATGTGGCAAGCGATAACGCATACACATTTAATATCTTATCGAGAATTCAATATAAATACGTGTAACATATTTATTAATTAAGCGCTTGAACAACTATAAATTCTCGTATTTTGGTGACGATTTCAATAGCATCGATTCTTAGGTGTATTTCGAGTGGCAATCCCCGTAAACAGAAAAGTCAATTGATTTCCAATTTAATATCGATAGATGGTTTTCCAGGTCTGCAATTGGAAATGATCATTCAGTGTACATATTATAATTCAGTCTTTTATCATTCATAGTTGTCTTTTATCATTCATAGTTGTCTTTTATCATTCATAGTGTTTTTTTATCATTAAAATGTCTACCAAAGATTATCTATCTGTTGTTAACCGGATATCTCGATAAAACAGATCAATTCCTTTCTTCTGTTGCTTCCGGTTTAACTGTGGCTCTCACAAGAAATGAAGCACTCATAAAAATTTCTAGAATTTTTATATCCGTCAATTTGTGAAATTGAGCGATTTAAGTCAAATTTTCAATTAGTAAATTTCTATATAACTGTTTTTCGAAGATAAAATCCACCTACGTGCCAATTATCGATATCTAGATCCCGAAGATCAGATCTTTATTGGCAATAAATAGTCGAATTAATGCTTCTAGCACCTTTGGGATCTTAGATCTCGAAAAATTTTGAGCCGACATTGGAAAAAAAGTTATCAATGTGAAAAATTTACTAATTGAAAATTTGATTTAAATCTCTCAGTTTCACAAAATGGTTAAAATAAAAAAATATTACAGAGAGAGACACTAAAAGCCATCCACAAAAATTTAGATCAATCTTTAATTTTTTTATAGAAAGTATTCTTCTTAAATATATCTGCATTCTCTATAAAAATATTTGAAGTGAGTAAAAAATTTTATATTGATTTAAAGTTGGTTTATTTTTATAAGTAATTTCAAAAATTGATATTATAATTAAGCAATCATGTAAGTAGAACAACTAATAAAAATTAATAGAAATACAATTATATGAACAAAATAATCAAGAAAAATTTATGTAAATATAAAAATAATTATATTATAAATCATATAAAAATAAATAGATTTAATGATTAGGATAATATCAAGTATTAGTATTAGATGATTTTCATTTATTAAAGTGATACTTTATCCACTTTTCACCAGATCAAAATGAATTATAATATATATAATTTTATAGAACCTAATGATTAATAGCAATCTTCATCTTCCTCTTCTTTCCAAGAATTATCTAATATTTGATGCTTTTTTATATTATAAATTATATATAAATTATATATTAAAATATCAAAATTTATATACATAATAATTAATTTAATTAATTAGAATTCTTTATTTTATATTAAAAAAAATAAAACTGAAACTTTTTAATTTGTAAATTTTTTACATATAAAATTAGAAAAAAAAATTTATTTTTAAATAATATACTAATTATAATATATAAAAAAACTAAATATTTATATAATTATTTTTATAATATATAGTAATTATCAAAAATAATACAAAATATCAAAAGTTTATAAAAATATTTAATAATAATTCAATATTTAATTACAAAAATAAATAAAAATATATTTAAAATATGCTTAAAATTATAAAATTTTATATAATAATTTTTAAAATATTTTATTTTAAAAATATTAAAAAAAATATAAAGAATTTATATATAGTTATTTTTTTATATTTTTACATTAAAAATTAAATAATTTAAAAAATAATAAATAAAAATTATAATATTAAAATAAATAATATAAATATAATAATAATTTTATAATAAATTAATATATAAAAAATCTAATTATATTATTTAAATTAAATAATTATATTTATTTTATTTTTTGCTAAAATTATATTATAACTTTTTGAAACAAAATAAAATAAAAAATTTTTATATAATTATTAATTATCAAGTTATTAATATTAAATAGTTTATATTGTTTGGTATTATACAAAAAATAAATATATTTAACTAATCAAATTATTATTATATTATAAGATCTATATTTTCAAAATTAATATTATAATTATATAGAAATTTTGAAATTTAAAATAAATAAATATTATTTATTTATATTAATATTAATAAAAATAAAAATTTTAAATAACTTAAAAGTAAAATATATTTTTTTATAATTTGTTAATTAAATAATTTTTTATAATTAAATATATAAAATTATATAATTTTTTTATAATTAATTATATATAATTTCACAAAAAAAATATATTTTATTTTTAAACTTTTTTTATTAAAAATAATTATTATTTTATAAAAATTCTAATATATAGTAGCAATAAAAAAGAATGGAATACTAAAACAAATTTATTAATAAAACATAATAAAAAAGAATGGAATACTAAAACAAATTTATTAATAAACCATAATAAAAATACGAAAAATATGGGTTTTTCTCTTTATATAAAAATTTTAATTTTACTAATAAATATTTTTTATTTTTATATTAAAATAAAGATAATATTACATATTTTAACATATATTTTT